CTGTATTATGAAGTGAATATCTTTATTCATGTTTGAGAATGCGTCTGACATACTTTATGTCACGCTAACAATGCATGTTACAAGCAACCCAGACAGTACAATGTGCACATCGGGACATAAGACGTCTTCAAAATATCTTAGAGATATTTTAAAGATGTCTTATATCACGGATTTTAGGCATTGTGTTGTCTGGGAAATAAATGATTAAGTTTTATTATATTTATAATAAGATAATTGTCATCCCGCCATTGTGTTAGTCCTTTTTTAGTATAATTTATTACATTTTAGAAAATGTATAGTTGAATAAAAATATTTAAAGAGCTACAGGGTGCGTCAGCTAAATCCGGACAAATTTCAATTTGAATTTTCCGCCATATTTTACTTCAGCGCTAAGTTGATATTTGTGTCCGAATAACCGAAAACAATGTTCTGAACGAACATAACCTCAAAATGACTGAGCAATCAAAATCGAGTATGGAATATAATGGAAGAGCGACGATTATTGATAGTCTTCGCGCTGGATGTACGCCGGCCGAAATAATTGAGTTCTTCAAATATCCGAGATCGACTTTTGACGAAGTTACCGCTAAATATAAGGCTTCGGAGAAGTCCGAAGAAGGTGCCGCGAATCCGTCGAGGAAGTTATTCAAGGGAAAAGTCAGCAAGGACCCCGAAAGTTGTCCAAAGGGTCCAAGAGCTAATCGCAGAAAACCCAGGGCAGTCTCTCAGGAAATTGGAGACAATTTTGGATGTGAGTGAGGCTACCATGCACCGAATAGCCGAAGAGGACCTAGGCTATAAGTCATTCGTCATAAAGGTACAATAGATGCTGTCTGAGGCTGCTAGAATGAAAAAAGTCGAGATGTTTTTGAGCAAAGAGTTTTAGCCTCCGAATAGTTCAGATTTAAATCCGTTGGACTATTACGTGTGGAACGTGATTAAAAGGGTCACTAACAAGTTGTGAAATCCTAATGTGGCATCTCTCCAGGCCGCTATTGAAACAGCATTCTTCAATATGGACAAGCCGGACAAGCGTTGCAGAGAGTCGGCGTGCAATCGCTTCAGACCCAGAATCGAAGTAGTAATTGCGATAGACGGTGGTTATAACGGTTCCACAAATGACACGAAAAAAGGTTTTTATGTAATTTTGTACGTTTGACCAATAAACTTTTGTTAATACATTGTTTAATTTAACCGGATTTAGCTGACGCATTCTGTATACCATCTCTTTCTTACATATAATAATTACATATAATAACATTTAAAAAGGCTTCTAATTTATATAATAATATATTTCTATTATAAAATATAAGTGGTATTTTATAAAACTCGGAATCGTGCATAGACAATATGAAATTGACTTATCAGTCAAGGCGAGATGATGTAGTATGAAAAGCAGTTGACTCACAATCTGGAAGTCCTGAGTTCGATTCCGGGTAGTGGCAGGCGAATGTTTCAAATATAATTATATAAATAGGATATCTATTAAATGACACAAAATTTAAAAAATTTCGCAAGAAATCATAATTGGCAACATCTTAAAAACAACGCAATAAAAAGGAATATAAATTAGAAATATTAATTTTTTTTAGAGCGAAATATTTTTTTTATGATAGCAAATTGACGGCAAAATCATTTCTTTAGGATAACAAATCATGTTAACATATTGCCATCAACTTAGCGTTGATAGGATTAGAATTTATATAGGTTCAACGTGGCAGATATAATGCTGTCTTACTTTGTTCTTAGTTTCTTGAAAATAATTGCTTCAACAATTGACGATAATATAACAGAAACTTCATAGATATTTGGTTGTCTGGGTATATAATTCATATTGTTATTTATCACGAATGACTACAAAGGTAATTATTCTTCAGAGGCATGCTGACACCGACGGAATATCGACTGAGACAAAAGGAATTTTCGCAAGATTTATAATGAACGTCGCGAACGAATGGATAGGAACCGACAAGTCGCACTTTGGGAAGACCAGATCCATCAAAATGAATCGGATAGTGAAAGGCCGGCGTTAGGCATTTTGTTAGTGTAGTTGAGCGTAATGAAAAAAAGAAGCACAATCCGATCCGAATTAGATAGTTCCTGAAAAACTACAGGCAACAAGAACAGAGAATAAAGAATTGCTGTGCATTGATACAAGATTTCCGGTTGAAAATCTATTGCTTGTGTAATTCACTGTTTCTGTTACTTGTGTTTTTTCATTGTGCATAGGGCTTTAAGCTTTAGGAGAAACCTTCTACTGCCCTTTTTCGTCAATATTCTTATTCCCGAATTATTTTCTAATTATTTCTTCTTTTTTATTGTTTTCTACCAAGTTTGTCAACTTCTTTTTATATTTTATATGTCATTGTACCGCCCAATAAAAAATATTTGAGTTATCATCGATTAATCCAAAATACAGCTACTATTCTACCCATAGATATATCCAGACCGAATATTTACCTTTATTTGAAGAGTGAGGGTGCACTCAAAAAAGGATGCACTTTGTTTTGTGTCTCTTGCATTCTCTCTCGTACGCGTGGTTTATGCGCGTGTTTATGCGCGAACAAGAGAGACGTCAGAGATACAAGGCACAGAGTGCATCCTTTCTATTCTGGATCTACTAATACTTACTAATAGATGTAGTCAGATTTTATGACGTCTTCGATTTCCTGACTCGACCCGACTCGAAACGTTCCAATAATCTTTGCAGTACTGCAATTTATAGTTGAAGTTACGTATATTGTCATAGACATAATAAGAATAGATCGAGCATGTCTTCTAACAAGCAGTGAAAATCAGATAGAAAGAGACAAACAATAGATAGCTTTCTCTCTTTAATGAAGAAAGAGTGGTGAGAAAGAGGAGTAAAAAAGTGAGCAAACAGCTGAATACTATATTGTTCACGCACCACTAATTTTCTCATAACTACATAACTTTTTCTAGTGAACGATCGAATATTCAGCTGTTTGCTCTCTTACCCCTCTTTCTCCCCACTCTTTTCTCATTAGAGAGAGAAGGCTGCATAGCACCAATTGTCAAGATCAGATAGAAAGAGACGGAGTTCAGTTCTCGTGCTTCATGCTCAATCAATTCTTACTATGTCTATATATACTATAATATTGCAATACTGTAACGATTAGTGGAAAAATTACTCTTTTTAAACATGTTTCTTTGGATCATTTCAATGGACAAATTTGTTTAAAGTCAACAAAATTTAAAAGTTCAAAGAAATAAAGAAATATTTTTCTTTGAGTAGAAAGAGAAAGAGTAGAGAGAGAGAGAGAGTTACGTACTCTACGTTGGCTATGTTCAGCAGGATGTTTACACATGAGTCGCAATATGTTGGATATTCTGCTGAACGCTATTATGGCACAGTTAACACATGAATAGTATCAGTAAAATCTAACTTTTTAGTATTACAATTTTTTCAGCACATATAAGACGAAAAAGATTATGCTAAATTAGCTATATAATTCTACACATAATGATAATGCATTGGAAATAGCCATATTCAATATATTTTGTTTACATTCAATGTACTTTTAAGCCAACGGTACACGACGCTTGTTTTCATGGTGGATTGTTTGCTAGATAGAAATATTAATGATTGGTGTATTGTCATCCATTTTTGGAAACGTGCCAATCAGAAACGCAGTACCGCTGGCTTCAGTTTGCTGGAAAGTATGACGACCGTTGAATAAACATGTGAGGTAGCAATTATAAAACGGTTGCGAAACTGTTGAGTCTTACTGAACTTAGATATTATCTTCTGAACATTCTCAATTTGTTCCTTTTAGTTCGGCCAGGATTACGTTCAGGAATCCTACTCATTATGTGTTTTCGTGATTTAGGTGGGAAAGTAGTGAGAATACCGTGTGCCTTCGTGTGTCAAAGGTTTCCGAACGCTCCAGCGTGACTTTTAGTGAATAATGATGAACGAGCGTGTATAAAATGTTACAAAAAAATACTATNTATATATATATATATTAAACCATACATACGAAAAAAATTTGAATTTTACAATTTCTGTTCATATAGTTTCAATGCTGATGTAATTATTCATCTTGAACGTCTTGCACTACTAAGTTCTCATTAAAATCAAATATCTGGTGTTCCCCGCTCATTACGTTTTCATGCTGCCCTTATATGAATGTGATTTTCATTGACATTTTTTACTTCGACAAGATTTATAACACGAAGAGGTTATGGCAAAAGTAACTAGATAGTAACCCACCGACTCACACCGACTTCCCCTGCTTTTTCGTCGGATGGTTTGGAGGCACAAGACATATCTTTCAGAGGATTTCCGAACGATGCACATTGAACCATATTGAGTATTTCCGAACAGCTAGTGTCTAGTAGTACACACAGTGTGGATTCCAGAACGCAACCCAGATGCGGGTCATAGCACAGGCGGCATTAGTGAAAATCTATCTCCCTGATTTAGGTGAGAGTTTACATTCTCTGAAAACAAAGGCCATGTCTAAAGTCGATATTCATAGCATACGTACTCTTTGGACGCCTTAAGTGCTTATAAATATCATTTTTACCGTTCCCTTTGGCATCATGGCACTCACAAAACGCGTAATGACGTCATTGTGACGTCTTACTAGCACTTACAAACGCTTCTCCTATTGAGGTAAGCGTGAACGTGAGCACTTATAGCACATGAGCATCCAAAGAAAACGCAAAGCGATTTATAACCTATGAATACAAAACATGGAAAACGAGAAAATTCCAATGCAGCTGAAGGATGCCGAAACGGGAAACATACGAGGGGGGGCCCAAAAAACCGAATTTTTTGTATAAAAACTTTATTTATTAACTTTTTTACAAAATTCCTTCAGTCACCTTCAAAGTACTCCATTAGATGCGATGCACTTATCAAGTCTTTTTTCCCACTGTTTGAAGCATCTCTGGAACTCTTCAACTTTGATATCGTCCAGTGCCCTTTGCGAAGCTGTTTTCACCGCCTCCACATCATCAAAACGCTTCCCTTTTAGATTTTTCTTCATTCTCGGAAACAGAAAAAAGTCGCACGGGGCTAGGTCTGGTGAATACGGAGGGTGGGGAACAACAGGCCATCCCCGAGAGGCCAAATAATGCGTTGTCGTGATGAAGGAACAAATCAACTCACGCCTGTCTCTTCTGAAATTTGGTCGATCGTAAAAAGATGATCTTCGCTGTTTTTTTGGCGGATTTTTTCAACGTTTTCATCGTTTCGAGATGTTTAAGGACGCCCAGAACGAGCATGGTCTTCAACACTCACCTCACCACGTTTAAAGCGCTCAAACCACTCGAAAACTTGTATGCGACTCATAGCATCCTCTTTAAAAGCCTGTTGCAACATTTGGTAAGCTTCCGTTGCCGATTTTTCAAGCAGGAAACAAAATTTCAAACACACTCTTTGTTCTTTTAAATTTGCCATAACGACTTCGCAGGCGGAGAAAAAATAACAGTAAGAGAAACACAACACTATGCTCAAACGTTAACCTACAAACCGACGCCGTCTGCACAGCTGTTTCGTGAAGGTCTCTACTAACCCCATGCAGCGGGAGAACTCTCTACTACGTCTACGAATGGCAGCGCGCTCTCAGTTCGGTTTTTTTTGGGTCCCCCCTCGTATATACAATATTTGTAACTCCAGAGTAAAAAATACGTTTAGAAAACGACAAATTTATTGTTAAAATTATAGACTGCTAGTAAGAAAGGATACTTCTTCTTAGTTAAACCAAATATGAAATGTATTGCGGACTTTAAGCCTTTAAGAGCAAAACATGGATGTTTAGTGCTATTATAATATGCATATATAATATTAATTATTATCTTTTTAGTATTAATATGATTGTGGGAGAATCTAATCGAGCGTATGATTGTTGAGCAAATAATATTGAGATCAGTTTTCTATCCAGAATTAACGCGCTTACAACCATAAATACCAAAGGAAACAACTTGATAAGCGTTTGTAAGTGCTTAAGAAAGAACGGCTAAAAATAGCGCTTATAAGTGTAAGCGCTTACAGCGCATGAGCGTCCAAAGAGAACGCACCCAAAGTAGGATCTTATATTTAAAACCATTAAATCATCAAATCATTGTCCGCCCTTATCTAACTAAGTGATCTCATTCGTAGACATAACACAATTGAACAGAATAAAACAATAAAAACAGAAAAAATAATAGAACAGAATAAAAAATTCGTGAACATAGCACGGAACAGAACCAAAATCTGTGAACATTGGCTTCGTAGTTCGTGTAAGAATTATGAACATAGAGACACTTCAAAATAAAATAACAGCTTTATTGCGGCTATGGCCGCTGTCAGACTTTTCTCTGCTACCACTAAGACGATAGTGATTGATGATAACTAAAGGTACGATCGCTTTAATTCAATTTCTCTAACTTCAATGCATATACATGCACACATATACGCACTAAATATAACTTGGACTCAAATCGCATCTTGTAGTCGACATTCTCCTTGCTCCCATGCTTCTTCGATACAGACATCCTTGCTCTCATTCGTCATGACAAGGCGAACAAAGATCTCGAGCAGCGGCTCGCTTCGCGTTTCACACGTGATAACATTGATAATCAGTGATAACATCAAGTCAAGCCGCAAATGGTCGGAGATGAGTCAACGTATCTTGTATTCTCGTGATTTGTGACTGTCTCACATGCATACGCTCCATTTACTATGTACACCAACCGACATTAATTCTTTTCACGAGAGGAAAAGCGTTGTTCCCTCTCTGTTCCTTTGCCGCGTTATTCTACTGGCTAGTTCTATTCTACTGGCTAGATCGGCCGACCGAGTACAATAGGAATGGGTGATATAGCTTCGCAGTATCGATATATCGTATTGATTAGGGATAGGCGATGTTTACCGATTAATCGAAATAGCCGATAGTTTTTTTTTCTAATAATCGATTAATCGGCTCGATGTTTTCCTCTTTCGATACATCGATGTTCGATTATTTATATCAGAATTATTTTTTTTTAATCAAGCTCGTATCCTTGAAGCTCGCCTCTCCTCGAACTTCTATTACAACCTGTAGTCTGCGACTTTACTATACTGTCTGATGCTTTACGATACCACTGGTAGATTCCTGTCACAAATGTAATTACCGAGATAAGCAGACAAACGATCCCACTTGTAGCGTCATTATACCAATTATCCACTGTATGACAGCAGCTATTATTAATTGCATAGTTGCAACAGAAATTGGTAACGAATTTAAAGCGAAGTTGCTTACTTAAATCAACCATAAATTTCAACATCTGGAAACGACTCGGATTCTAGCAAAGTCAACAATCCTAGATTCGCGCTTTAAAAGACTGCACTTTAAAAGTGCTTCAGCAGTTTCTCAAGCAATTCAAGTTATTGACAATCAGTTGAGAAATATGTTTGGCTATGGACAACAAAACCGGGATAAAGAAGATACCCAAGATGTTAATGATATTAATAATGCGAAGAGTTCATCTCAAAATCTGTGGCATTTGCACGATAGTCTTGTGATGAAAAATAAAAAGATAGCTGATACAGTTTCTGATAGTTGGAACCTGGAATTGAAACAATATTTGAATTAGACGGTAATCAGTCGTGCAGAAAAAGTTTTTATTCCATTGGACATCACTGAACAGTGCATTTCCAATGTTGTTCAAATTGGCATTGCAGTACCTCAGTATTATTTCAATTTCAATGCCAACGTTTATTTTCATATGCTGGAAATGTAAAAACTGACAATCGTAGTATTCATTCTAGTGAGCATCTCAATATATTACTATTTTTAAGCAGAATGGAAAAGAAAGAATGAGGACTAACATAAAAATATTCTGTACTTTTACTTGTTTTCTTTGCTCGCCTTTCTTTTTTACTTTATATTATTTGTTCTGTCCTGCTTATCTAAAGTAATCTAGTCTTTTCAACAAGTTTTTCTTTATTTTCAGGAATATATTTTATTGTGTATTAGTTGTATAATATGTTTATATATATTCATTGTTTTTAATTAAACATACCTTTTGTAATAAACTAAAAACGTCTTCCCTTAAAACTATTTCCTTTTTCATATGTAGAACATTACTAAACTACATTACTACACTACACCTGGATTTCTGGATTATGGTTTGATGTGAAAGCATATTTTACATGGTTAATAATAATAGTCATGATTAATAATAATTTTTGAAATTATTTATAGTGACAACGTGAAAATTGGAAAGTGCACTGCAGCATTTTGGAACCTGCCTATATACATTTTTATTAATAAAAGAATAAATATATAAATAAATAAAAATACAGAGTGTCGCAAAAAAATGTTACCACACTTTGACTTTTTATAAAGTATTTATCAAATATCGTACAATTTGCTTTCAATGTTTATAACTACATTAACGTATTTTTTGTACTTAGTTCATATTTTTAAATTGATGACCATTCCGATCTATATAGCGCTGGCATTGTGAAGCTATGGAATCGCACACATTGAAAAACATTTCATTCGGAATTTCATTCCCTTTCGATGGCTACTTTCAATTCATCAACGGTTGCAGGTTTTGTACCATAAACTTTATTCTTAAGAAAACCCCACAAGAAAAAATCCAGTAGTGTGAGGTCTGGTGATCGCGGTGGGCATTCTACAGGACCTCTGCGTCCTATCCACCTATTAGGCAGGTTTTCATTACGATAGGCCTATACATCACTATGGTAATGAAGTGGAGCTCCATCTTGTTGGAAATAAAATCTCTCATCGCCAAAATCTTCAAGAATAATTGGCAAGATAGATTCTTGCAATAAATTAAAGTAAATGGCACCATTGACAACATCCTCAAAAAAGAATGGGCCAATTAATCTTTGCGCTGATAAGCCGCACCACACCGTTACTCCTGGTAAATTCACATGATGTTCCTCCATAATGTGTGGGTTTCCACGCGCCCAGTATATACATTTGTGGCGGTTAATTGTACCATTTAATTTACCAGGTGTATGCATAAGTTTTTTTAANTGCTCCAGCGAAAAGTACGCAGCGTATTAATTTGACACATACGTCATTTTGTTCGTCTGACATTTAAAACTACAAACACACACAAGTTGAGTCCGCCAAAAACTAGCGTCTTTGTTTTATCGTTCAGTGATCATGTCGAGTTTTATGCCTGAAAAAGAACATTTGCGGCACGCATTGCTTTTCTTATTTAATCAAAAGAAAAAGGCTGGTGAAAGTCATCGTTTGCTGGTAGAAACATATGATGAACACGCTCTATCGATTAGAACATGTGAGACATGGTTTTGACAATATAAAAATGGTGATTTCAATGTGAAAGACAGTGAGCGCTCTGGTAGACCACAAAAATGCGAAGACGAGCAATTGCAGAAGTTATTGGATGATGACCCAACTCAAACTCAACGGCAATTAGCAGAAGCATTACATGTATCACAAGAAACAATCAGCAGACGTTTACGAGCAATGGGAAAGATCAATAAACTCGGTAAATGGGTCCCACACAATTTGAATGAACGTCAAATGGAAAATCGCAAAGTCACTTGTGAAATGCTGCTTCAACGCCACGAAAGGAAATCATTTTTGTATCGAATTGTGACGGGTGACGAAAAATGGATTTATTTTGAAAACCCGAAGCGGAAAAAATCGTGGCTTTCACCTGGCGAAGCCGGCCCATTATCACCAAGGCCAAATCGCTTCTGCAAGAAGACCATACTCAGTGTCTAGTGGGACCAGAGCGGTATTGTGTATTACATGACAATGCGCCGTCTCACACAGCAAAACCAGTGAAAAACACCTTGAAATCGCTTGGATGGGACATCCTTCCGCACCCGCCGTACTCCCCAGACCTGGCGCAATCTGACTATCACCTCTTCGCATCAATGGGGCACGCGCTCGCAGAGCAGCACTTCAGCAATATCGAGGAAGTTGAAAAATGGCTC